GTCAAAGGCTCACTATGGATGAGCAGTTACCAACCCCTCTGACTCGGGGAGTCAGCAGAAGGCTTTAAAGCAAAGTTCCTTGGCACTGTTTGTGGTTGAATTTTCAAGTCTTAAACACAGCTCCAGCTGCCCAAGCACTACCAGATCAGCACAAAGCCCTTCAGTCACTGACAGGACACTGCTCAGGAAACAGGGAAGATGGAGCAAACAGTCAATGCTATTTTAGCCACGACACTTTTTGTACAGACACACAAAACTCAGTGTCCCCTGGGAGTTTTTGCCAACAGCCACTCACCTCACGCATGGCCAGTCTGTCACTCAGCTCCTCAGCCTTGGCAATGTCCCCTTCAGCCACGCACTTCTCTATGCTAAGTTCAAGGCCAGACTAGGGGAAAAAAACAAAAAGAACATATTTAAAGAGAGCACATCCTTTCTAAAAGTATTTCTTTCATAAAATTCTTTAGGACACTGCACAAACCTGCAATTTCTGTGTAACACAAACCACTCTGTCTCTACTGTAATGGACAGTATAATTAAGAACTCACTGAAAGGCTGCCCGAGCACAAATCATTGCATTAGTTCCACCTTATGTGCAGGATAATACTATAGGTTAAAAAAATTACACGGACTAGTTTATGCCTGTCACAATGAAATTTCATCTGAAGATCTGTCTTATCTCTTCCATCCCTGGAGCTTTCTAAACAAAATGTGAAATATATGTGTCAGGTAACATGAAGAATGGCAATTACCACTGTATCGTTACAGTTCTAAGATCTTATCTGTCTCCAAAAACTGAGTTCTGGCACGATGCCACTCCCTGTACTAATAAATTAAAAATTCTAGCAGCCCTATGGAAAACAATGAAAAAGCTTCAGAATTTAAAGGTTATTTTTTTATTTTCAGAGGCTATGATCAGTGTATCACAACTTGTTCAACAGCAACATTTACAAATAAGACAACCATAAAAAGTAAATATTTCTTGAAAATTATAGCTGGAAACTTCTGATGGAATACATGGCAGAGGGCACAGACTTCAGAATTTCACAAAAAAACTCACTCTCGTAACAAAAGGCAATTTACAGCCTCACTGGTTTTAAATATTAGTGATGCTAAAGAAAACACATTTGACAGTTTCATAACAAACACTTCTTTAAGAGACAAAACAAAAAAGCCAACAATTCTGGAGAAATGGTGATGTGCAAACTCTGCACTTCAATTATGTCAGGTGGTAGCTGAAAAAACAAAATGCACAACTGGAAATTGCAGTGATAGCCAATTCTGTTAGATGTGTTTTCTGAAAGTAATGAGACACACTTTCCACTAGAGATAAAGTCCCTGAACTTACGTAGAAACCATCTGCATTTTAACACTTTGGGCCTTATTCCAGATCTGTCCTGGTCAGTTTAATGACAACTAAAGAGCCACCAAAAGTAAGGAGTGAACAATGTCTCATGACTTTCATGTAGAAACCTACTGTAGGCAAATGAAAAAACCCAAATGTATCCTAAAGGAGGCTAACTGGACATTTGATGTCACAGAACTCACACAGGACTCTACCAGAAAAACTACAGAACAAATAGTGCTACCAGGAACTCTCAATATATGAAGTTTCTTAATTGTCCATTATGTGTACCAATTAGTTCAAATATGACTACTTACACAGTATTTATGAACAGAAGGTGTTAGAACCCCACCAAAAATGCATGATAGATTTGTCCCTTTAATTCCTACAGCCCCTGGTGCCAACTGAAGGATTTTTGTGACACATTTTAAAGTTAAAACACGACTAAACAAAAGAAAATAAAAAGTTAAACTACACATATGAAGCATTCTGAGAAAACATAACCAGACAGGAAACAAGCCTGGATGCTGTCTCAAGAGCAAGCAGAGCAACCATTCAAAAAAACATTTATTAAAAATGTCACAAATTTGCCCTTCCTGAGTGATTTGATCATTTACTCTCAAATAGACTCAGTTTTATTTCTATCTCAGTTAATGTTAACTTCTTTTACCACCAAGTACAAGCTGACACTGCCTTTGTAGCAACATTCACCTTTTGTGGGGCCCTGCTATCCACAGGTGATTCAAATCTATCATTGATTCCAAAGTACTGTGTCAGTTCTTTCCACTTCTCTTCATTTTCCAGCTGTTGGCTACTAAAAACAAACAAACAAGTCATCAGTGTAACCAGCTCCCTTTCCACAACTTGTAATATTCTATGCTAAATAGGATTCAGTGCTAGAATAAACTCTTCCATTTGGCAGGCATGCTCTCTTCACCCATTCAGTTTTTAATTCAACTGAAATTAATTATTCCTCCCCCTGTGTAAGTATAATTCCAGAATGTTGAAAGCAAGCTGATAGAATCATAGAACCATTCAGGCTGAAAAAGACCTTTAAGATCATCGAATCCAACTGTAAATATAACACAGAAGGAAACACAATACAAGAAGGAAAAAAAAGAGAAGGAGCAGGCTGAACTGTTATGCAGTTACATGCAAAACATAATCAGGAACAACATTAAGTCTATTTTAAGTTACAGTAAATAATAATTAATGTTGATTTTTAAAATCAAGCAGTAACAGTCCATTAAGTATTCACTGATATAAACTCAGCCTGCCCAACAGACACTGAAAACATTCAGCAGATATTTAACATGGTGTTCAAACTTAGGCTTTAGCCATGCACGTGGTCAAGCTTTTTTACAAGTTTTGCCTGATACTAAAGACAGACCTCAGGAAATCACATTGACCTGGTTATACCTCTTAGTCACTTCGTCAGCCTTTTTCTGTTTTGCTAAGGGGAGAAAAGAAAAGAGAAATCCAACATTACACAGCAATACCCCACAGCACCCAGTGAACTTACAGAGCTCTAATTGGTCACGTTTCCTTTCAAAGGTCAACACACTGGGATTTTTACCCAGTGATGGTTTGGTTTTAAACCACTCAGCTGTAAGAGACTCCTACAGTATCTGTGAAGAAGTTTTAACTAGAATACACTAAAGTATGATTTATAGAATTACTGAAACACACTTAACTATTATAAATCAGTATTAATTGAGTAAGTTCTACCTTCTTTTAAAGAAGAGGACAAATATATTACTTGCATTTTAAGTTGCAATTTACAACCTGGACCTGCAAGTGCTGCATACAACTGGAAAAATAAAATCATAGATAACAGATGGACTACATCTACTCAGGCTTTCATTTCTTCACCAAAAAGAAAAAAAAAAAGCCCAAACAAAAACAACAACTACTCACCCCCCCACACCAGCACATGCTGATAACAATTCAATTTTGAGAAAGTAAATTCCATAATTACAAAGAACACCTTTGCGGTGGCGCTTTCTCTTTCGGCATCTGTTTTCCTGCTCTGCTTCCATTTTCATTTCACGGTGCTTCTTCTGAAGCTCCACAAATTTCTACAAGATTAAGAAAAAGCAAATCAGTATTTTTAATTTTTTTTCACCCATTTTTAAGAAACTACATATTGTGCTGAGAAACATTGTGACAGTATCTTATTTATCCACAGTACCTGGTGCTAACAATTACATTCAAATTTATAAATCAAGAACATCTGATGGTGTTAAAACAGAATTGGTTCTAATCTTTCACTGCCTCTCCCTGACTTTCTGCCCTCCCTACATCCCAGGACTACTCAAATCTGACAGTCTTCTCATGGGATGTGCCACAGAATACATTTCAACTGTATGTACCCTTTCCAGGTATGCATCACCCCTACCATGGCTGATATAGTGAGCTGTGAATCCTTACTGATGCAGAAAGCAGCTACCAAGAACCTCAGAGCCCAAAAACCACTGAGAACACAAGTTTCATGCAGCTGTCTAGTCATAAAAACTCCTTGCTCTGCCTTCAATCACCACCAAACTACCCAGTCACTTCCTACCTAAATTCCTGCTCTCCCTGCTTGAAACAATCTCAGGTATATCCTTCAATCGTATTATGTATCATTTCAGATGAAAATAACATTGAGTTATTTTAATCTAAAAATCAGCCATTGGACTTTGTTGCATTGCTCGTTTGGAGACCTGCAAAGACACGCACATTCCAGACACTGACAGAGATTCCAGGAGGGCACGTCTGAGACTCGCTTTCTTCATCTGCCACCGGTATCACAGTAGGTTCACTGCTGGCACTACTCTCCTGTCCATTCCCTGGGAGTTCAGAAAGCTCAGCTCCTTCGGTATCCTCTTGTGCCTCTTTCTTTGAAGAGGACGCAGGAGAATCGTCTCCATCATCAGAACTCAAATCAACATCACTTTCATTCACTCCCGGAGGTAACAGCCCACTCCACATCTTCCAGTTTCAGCAAGTCCAAAGCACTTCCAGTCACTGCAGAGACACCGGGTTACCCATCCCGAGGTGAGAACAACCTGCAGGAGAGAGAAACAGAAACACCAAACACCTCATCAGAAATATTTTAGCTTCTCACAAGCAACTATCAGTACATGCTTTAGAAAACACATTATAAAGCTTCTACTACTTACTATTTCAGAGAGGAGTAGACGACTTGAGTCCACAGGTTGACGCTATAGTTCATTCTTTTTCCCCCTCCTCGTCCTTTAAGGTTATGCCCCTTCGCATTTGTTTACGGCTACTTTCGGTTTAGGAGCGACACCAGAGCAAACGCTTCCCGTCCCTCCCCAGGAGCGGCTTCCCAGGGGAGCACAAGCCCCTGCCCTCGCCGTCGGGCAGGGCCGGCCTGCCCGGGGCAGGCCGGGGGAACGCGGGGCACCCGCTCCGGAGGAGAAACGGCTCCACCGCAGGGTGTGGGACGGCAAACGGCAACCCCCGGCCACCGCAGGCCCGGCGGCGCTGCCAACAGCCCGCGGAGCCCTCGCGAAACCCCCTCGGTGTCCCCGCCCGGCCGTGTTTACCTGGCCGCCATCTTGGCACCGCCGGAACACCCCGCCCGCCCATTGGGCTGTGCGGCGCAGCCAATCAGCGGCCGCGCCGGTCTCCATGGCAACGGGGCGGGGCGTCCCCCGGGGAGGTGTGGGGTGTTCCCTGGGATAGTGTGGGGTGTTCCCTGGGGAAAGTGTGGGGTGTTCCCTGGGGAAAGTGTGGGCTGTTCCCTGGGATAGTGTGGGGTGTTCCCTGGGGAAAGTGTGGGGTGTTCCCTGGGATAGTGTGGGGTGTTCCCTGGGGAAAGTGTGGGGTGTTCCCTGGGAAGGTGTGAGGTGTTCCTTGTGAGGGGAACAGAGCGACCTCCAGGCTCCCGTAAGAACTCCCGAAGGGGCAGTTGGCCCAGTAAGTGCCACTGAGGTTGTTGTCAGAATCACAGAGTCAGTCAGGTTGGCCGAGACCTCTGAGGTCATCGAGTCCAGCCTGTGACCAAACACCACCTTGTCACCCAGCCCATGGCACTGAGGGCCACGTCCAGGCTTTCCTTAAACACTTCCAGGGACGGTGACTCCACCACCTCCCTGGGCAGCCCATTCCAATGTCTGATCACCCTTTCTGCAGAGAAATTCCTCCTCATGTCCAACCTAAACCTCCCCTGGCACAGCTTGAGGTCGTTTCCTCTCATCCTATCCCTTGTTCCTTGGGAGCAGAGCCCGACCCCCACCTGGCTACACCCTCCTGTCAGGGAGTTGCAGAGAGTGATGAGGTCCCCCTGAGCCTCTTTTCATCCAGACTAAACACCTCCAGCTACCTCAGCTGCTCCTCATGAGACTCATACTTCTTTCAGAAGCAGTCCCAGCTGGAACAGAAATATGGCATCTGTTCCAAGAGTAAACCTGGTAATCATGCCATACAAAAGCGTATATGCTGGGACAGAATGACTACGGTCATACTCTTCGGGACACAGGGGGAGGTTTAGGTTGGACATTAGGAAGAAGTTCTCCACAGAAAGGGTGATCAGACATTGGAATGGACTGCGCAGGGAGGGGGTGGAGTCACCATCTCTGGAGGTGTTTAAGGAAAGACTGGATGTGGCACTCAGTGCCATGGGCTGGCTGACAAGATGCTGTTAGGTCATAGGTTGGAATCAATGGTCTCAGAGGCCTTTTCCAAGCCAGTTGTTTCTGTGATTCTGTAATTCTCTGAAGAGAGCATAAGATCTAAAAAGAGATATTTTTCAAGAATTGAAAAGTCCTTTCAAGGTTCCCCCTAGTGCCTTGGATTAATGTGGTAAAGAGAAAACCTCAGAAAGGCAAACTCACAAATCTTACAAGGTTGTTCCTTGTGTATTCTCTTCCAGCATCAGAGCTCATGTTTTCCTTAAGCTGCTCCAAAATGTGGAAAAGCTCTTAGAACCCCATTGGGAATTTTGAGTCTCACAGCAGCGTGCTGGGTGCTTCAAAGTTAACTGTCAGTCCACGCAGAGCATTCAGCAAAGGACGTGTGGAAGATTCTGTTACTCCTTGTCCTTTCTGTTTTCCCAGGTGAGACACAGCACAAACACATCCTTGGGAGCAGCCTGAATATGATTCAGCAAAAGCACCTTGCACAAGAGGAGCAACAGGAAGGGAGGCACAGAGGAACTGCAAGGAGATGGTGCAGGGGGGAAGCTGACACCACTAGTGCTGAAATGTGTCTGAAAGAGGGGAGAGTTCCCATTTTTCAGATAATTTGTGAGAAGATGCGTTTTTGAGTGACAATTTGACAGGTTGAAAACTGTATCTCAGTATGATACTGAGAATTCTGGGGAAAGAATTGCTGACCCCAAATCAGGGCACAACACAGTTGTGGACACACGTGAGTGGAATGGGAGGAGGGCAAGTGCTATGAAGATGGATAACAGGGAATATGGCTTTGAGTAGGGATTTCTTGGTGGATCACAGCTTCTGGGATTGGCTGTGCACAGAAGGGAGAACTAAGTGCCTTTCTCATGGACATAAAACAGATCTTCAGATTGTTTTCAGTTTTATGTCATAATTTTACATCCTTAGATTCATTTCTAAAATCAATTAATTCCGTAAGTAATCACTTTTTCATGAACTACATGTAAATTTCACACTCAGCTTGCTAACTAGATTTTCCTCTCATCTGGGAAATCAATTTTTAAGAGAGTTATTTTATTTACATTTAATGACTGGTTATATTTGGTATACAGATAATTGGTAATTAATAACTGTATTGATACTGGATATTCACTGCTGTTTGTTCTAGCAGGTTGTTAGACCATTGGGCTGCATGATGTTTTCTTAATTTCAACACACTCCAAAAATTGAAAAATATGTGACAGCCCTGTGACCTGTAAATTTAGATGTTTGACAGGGATACATTTTCAGAAGGCAAATTTAATTTTGTGTGACACAATTTGTATCCAAACGTTGTGCTCCTTATTTATTATCCACAAGCCAATGGCACTGGTAGTGCACACAAATGAAGTACTCAAATATTCACATTAATTTCATTTTATAATTGCAAATTAGTTGTGTTTGTAATTTTAAAAGCCAAATTTTCAGGATGATCTCCAGTCCTCCCATAATAAATTCTGAGTTCTCACAGGTCCTTCCATGAAAGAAAAATGGTGGCAAGAGCTCCTGCCTGACTTTCATCAAACCAGAAGCATTTGTATTCACAAAGTCAGTGCTTGAGGAAACCACAAAAGAGATTGTTGGCTACTTAGCAGAATTTGCTATTTGCTGTGGTTTGTGTTTTGTTTTGGTTTTTTTTTATTTGTTTATTTGTTAGGGTGTTTTTTGTTGAAACAATGTGTAGAGTCTTTTTATTTCAAGAAGGAAATAGAAGGCAGCACAACCTTGTGACCAACACTCATGTTCCTACATCAAAATCATGAGAGCTGCTATTGTGTCCAACACTTGATTCAGTGTCAAATTCTTCTCATGGCAATTTTCTGGTCCCCATTGAGCAAATATTCAAATAATCTGATTTATTTCCTTTTGGTCAACTGATCTAACTTCCTTTCTCACTTGAATTCCTGTCCTGGAGACCTGCCAAACAATGACTCTCAGGAATGAAACGAGTCATGCCTCTGAGATTCCTGTGGAACACCAAACTAGCACAACACAGTAATTAGAGGTTTGATATTTTTGACGCTGTTACTAAAAGCTACTTGAACTTTAGAAGGAAGGACTATTGCAATTAGATGTAACATCAAGTTTAATTTGAATCTTCCATGATGTCTATGATTTTCCAAGTTTTAGGCAATTTTCTCTGTATCTCTGTTACCTTCCTTTACACAGATACCACCGTGAGTCCCTGTTGTTATAGTGTACTTTGTCACGTGTATTTTCTTGTGGCAACAGGAATATGAGGTTTCTGCTGCAGGAATCTCTGTAGAGCAAAGCACGTGGTGTGCTCAGGAATTGGAAACAGCAGCTTTTGGTGTTGGTCTTTCTATCATCACTGTACAGTAGCCAAGTATTAGCACGTAAGTGCTGTGGTACTCCTTGTTCATGCTGTGTGAGGTGGTCTTAAGCAAGTTTGCTTGGGAAGAAGATATCCTGTATTCCTTTGGGCAGTCAGCCTGAGCTTCTGGTGCTGTTATTACCCCTGGCACTGTTTAGGATGGACTCTTCATCCCACCCCCACACTTGGCAGTGTGCACTGTATCAAGCCTGAACTGGGCATTTTTCCATACCTTTGCTTGTTTTCATGGAGCAGCACTGAAACAGGCTGTGCTGCTCCTTTCTGGGTGAAAAGTATGGATTACCATCTACAAACCCCAACATTGTTTGGGTTCGTTTTGAAACTCTCTCAGTGGGTAACTGTAACAGAAGTGGTCAAATTTGTCAGGTCCCGGGAAAGCTGATGGCTGTGCACAGGCCAGGGACCAACAGCAACTTCTCACAGTGTCTTTCCCTCAGATCAACCACAGGACACCGTGGAGACCTGAACTATTCCCTTGGATATATGATTGAAACCATGCTCAGCTAATCACAAATAACCCCACACATCTTATTTCTGCAAAATATACAGTTTCCTAGAGCAGAAATGGAATCTCCTACAACATACATTTTGCATTATTACTTGTTTCTTTTTAGCAGTAAATGAGGACATAAGAAACTTTGTCTTAAGCATAGAAAAATGCTACATTTTATCCTTTCGAGACGGTGTTTTCAAACCATGTCAAAATGATCAAGAACTGGATTCTTGTTTAAACATAATAGGAAGGCCTTATTGTATTAGCAGATTACAGTCATTGTGTTGGTATATTATCTACCTTGTCTTCATTTTTGCTAACATAATGAGAAATTTTTCTAGCATGGTTATATTTTAATACAATAAAATAGTGTTGGAGAGGAAAATTAATATGATTTTAAAGAGAGATGTAAAGACAATAAAATAGCCTCTGGGTTTTCCTTCCTAAACTTTTAATTTGTTGCGAACTTAAAATATACTTTTTATCAATCCTTTAAAATAATTATACTCAAATGGACATTTAAACTCAATTAAAAGGTTTACATAGGGCATTTTTTCCACATACTCTGCCATATAAGATCTAAACAGATCTGCTCAGATGTTCCTAAATTTTCTTGTTTGAGAGAAGTACAAAACTGAATAATTCAGTATCCAGCCCTGACTTTTAGTGAAGATATTGTCATAGCACCATTTACAATGTCCTTGCTCCTCTGAGGTTTGCATTTTGATGAAAATTCTGACCATAGAAACAGAAAGAAATGTCTGTGGTTTTAAGCATCAGCAGCCCATGAGCAAGTTGCTTTGTCTGCTCTTTAGAAAAAGGCATCTCTAAAGCCCTAGGACATCGCATTCAGAGAGGAAGTAGGAGCTTTTGTCCAAAATTCCAGATTGAAGCTTGGAAGATCTGTACTCAGTTATTATTCTTGCCACAGGCTTCCTGTGAGGAATGAAGAAGATATTTTCAATTTTAGTGACTCACAGGTAGAAAAGAGTTTTTATCACCTATATCTATTCCAAGCATAAACTCTGTAGGTTCTCTGGGTTCTTGGAATAAGGTTTTTGCAGAAGGCGAAAGGATAACTGAGCTGTTGCAGATGACCCTCTTTTATCTGGATCCCAGCCATGACAGGCCAATGAGGGTATGAAGTTCAGTTCTTGTTGTTCCATAGCATTTATTCATCCCCTTGGGACCTGGGGACTGTTGTGTCTTCTGACCTGACCCCTGTGTTGCCACAACTACATTTGTTACTTTGAGTACAGGACATGTTTATTGGGACCTGCAGCCCTAATTCCCCCCAATGTTCACATCAGCCCAATGTCAGGGTCCTCTCCCAGTATGGGACAAATTTCAGAGATCCAAACACATCAGTCCCAATTTTGTGGTGATGAACACTAAGTCCGTATACTGGATTGGGGTCTTGGATACGTTTCTCCGGCAATAGAGGAGAAACACCCTTCCACCATATCAATAAATGGAATATCATCCGACTGTTTTCACACAAAAAAGAGTCAGAAAGCAGTTTTCTTAACCTCTCAGCGAGTTTTTCTTTGTGTATTAATTGGTTTTATTTAGAAGCACAATAGTGACTCTCAAGCTAGGAGTCCCATCACGTGGCACTCGGATCTGGATCTACGGCAAGGCACTTAACCTCTCCTTACTTTTGTTTGTGAAACAAACAACACTATTTTAACTACTTTTCAAGGATATTAGAAAAAATTAATTAGTTTAGTGTTTGTACTGCAATAAAGGTCTATATAATCGGAAAGTCTTATAAGAATCTCGATCGTTTTAGTTATATTTTGCATTGATTAACTTTGAAGGGTTAGTTTTGATACTTTGTGCTGTATTTGAAGTGTGCTATTGTTTGATCTCTATAAATAACAGCTGACTTTTCAAGCTCCTGTAACGAACCTGTTTAGTCTCTGCATCTGCCAATGCCCTCTACTGGTTTGAAACACAATCGCTCAGCAGAGGGTATTGCAGGAAACTGTGATATTTAGATGATTTTCCTTGGGGAGAAGTAGAGTTTTGGTTGTGTAGCCGGGCTCTCTGTGAAGTGCAAGGAGCTGCACCACGGGCAGGTGACACCTGGGTGACTGTTGTCATGCTGCACACACATAACACCGTGCCAGGTGTTTTGTGTTGCCTTCTGTGTTTTTGTTTCGCTGGCTTTGCTCTTCTTGCCATGAATGACAGGCTCCCAGGTGGGTCTGGAGAGGGAAGAAGGTAGTTACCTGAGAACTGCTGTGCAGATGTTCCACCAACACCACAGCCACCTCTCCAAGGAGCCTCTCTGCTCTTCCCCCTGGTCCCGGGCCTTCCCAAAGTGAGGGGTGCTTGTGTTGACAGGCTGTGGGACAAATAACCCCGGGGGCACAGGAGCTGCAGAGGTAATGAAGTGCCTTGAGGAAAAAGTCTTAACTATCAAGGGATAGATCCACTCCCCCTGCCACAAACCAGAGGTCACGTGGCTGAGGAATGTGTATCCAAAGATAGTGCTACCTTCCGAGAACTCTACTTACAGGTAAGTAACTCTTCTTTAAAGGAGGTATCTTTGTGTGGCAGACTGTTTATGGGAGCAATTTGAATTGAACTTTAAATGAAAAAGGCATATCTCTGTAAGTGGTAATAATTTTAGTCATCTCGCTGTGGCTAGGGGTTGTGGAATTCATTAGCACAGATTAACATATAAAGTGGGTGAGATATCTAATAGCAAACGTAGAGGTTTAGGGACCTTAATTCATCACTGAATGAACAGCGTGTACAGTATTAGGGACTATGAAATTTTTAATTTACACAAAGTGTCCAAGAATATAGGGAATAAATTTAAACCCAAAACAGATAATGGAGCTGTGCCCTGCCTAGCTGGCAAGTTGAATTGTTTTTACACTGAGTGAAGAAAGCTAATTATCCCAAGCACAAGGAGACTGCTAAAAATAATAAGATTATAAAGAATAATTTGCTGATATAATTACAACAAAATTGGGTACACACAATCGTCAGATACATGTATTGCTTGACCTGGGCGAGAAAGTGAAATAAATCCTTCCTCTATAGCCTTCGTAAATTTGTTTTTATCATCTCCAAGTGGTGTTTGCACAGGCAGCACAATTTGCATGTGTAATGTGGCTGTACAAATTGACAACAAGTAAATTATTCAAGGAAATAGGCTGGTCGTGGGTCTGAACTATCTCGCAAAGCCTATTCATTTTGAAGAATCACTGAGACGTGAAGCTCATACATCAACCATTTTCTGACAATCCTCAGACTTATTGTCTCCTAAAATGTCATTATGGCTATTATTTATGAAGCTAATTCATTTATTAATATATATTTAACTCTGACTTGTCATGCACCTTAGCAGGCATTCTGTGCACTGCATATTTTTGAATAGATGAAAGAGTTTTGCATGCTTTAATGATTACTGTAAGCTGCTATAGATTTATAGAATGCAGCTTTATTATCTACTTGTATTAATACCTTTTTGTAACTTTTTTTTCCTTAAGGCCATCAAATATAAATGGCAAATGACACATCCAAAAGATTGTATAAAAAAAGAGATTTTCTCAGAGTTTCTTGAATTTTAGAACAGAATGAGGTAGCTAAGTGTCAAGGCCTAATTCATTTTTAAGAGTCTATAATAATTATTTTGATTTTTTGTGTGTTTTGCTAAAAAAATACAGGATGAAATATATAAATTCAGATGTTTACTATACTTTTCTCTCTAAGGACAAATGACCATTTTGATTATATCAACAGAGGGAGTACAATTTGGAGGGGGGGAAATGCAGCAGATGGAAAATAGATGTCTCCTGCTATAGTATACATAGAATGTGGATAATTGCCCCCACATAGAACAGTCCTTAGGAAATGAACAACACAAAGAGTATGGATTATGAGATTGCCTATGGTTCTTGGATTTTTTTCATCTCGATTCACTTATCTTTAGGGCATATTAAAAGACGTAGGGATCACAGTAACCCTTCCCTAACATCTGCAGAGTGTCAGGAAATTAAACATTGCAATCTACTATGAGATACATATTTTGGGTAGTTCTAAATTTTATTATGCACATAGAATACAAATTAAACTTGTAATTATAATCACTAGTTGACTGATTTAAATGCATCATTATTTTGACTGGATGGTCAATTTGACTATTTGCATGATCACAATTTGGGGCCACTGGCCAGTAGTCTAAGAAATGATATAGAAGTTCCAAGCTCTGCTTGTGAAGTTGATATCCCCCATAGATTTGATAGGGCATTTGGTCTTGCTGCCTCAGTGCTCTTTCCCATCTGTAGGATGGGGATAAAAAGTTTGCCTTGTTTCCTGATGGCATAAAGGAATAACCTATTGGGTTAAAAGCATGTCTGGTTAGAGTCATTCTTTTGTATTAAAATCAGGAATTGTCTTGTTTTCCACGTGCTCCTAGCATGTGCTAGATGGTAAAAGCCATGGGTTTATGTTACACCATGGAATGGACAGTCTGTGAACAAAAAAAGGGCTTTACTGTATCATTACCTTAAGATCTTGCAGAGCTGTGTTCATTGTGGGCAGAGCTATTTCACCTTCAGCATAACAACACAAGAAGATTTTCAACATCAAGGCAAGGAGTCTTTGCAAAACAAAGAATTATCAGCTCTTTGGGTAGCATGAAGGTCTTCTGAAGCTAATGTTAAAATGGAAAATACTATAGATATTCATATTGGAAAGCTTACTTATTACTTTGAATTCTTCAGCTTCTTTAGAATGTTAATAAGAACACAAAACACACATAACATACAGGAGCAGACTTAAGTGACCAGATAAAAGACATTTTGAAAAAACAACTCAATCCAGACAAGAGCAAAGAAACTGGTCACGTGGTTCTGAGTATGTGGGGTGAATAAATAAGGCTTTTTTGTGTCCAAAAGTCAGTAAGAAAAATAACTTTCTGTGCTTTGGAAATAGAAGCTTATGTTTTCAAAAGTGTGCTGTCACTCCTGGTATGTGTAATTTCAGGTGCCTACCTTGAGACATCTTGGAAAGTAAACCCAGACTTGTAAACTATTTTTTGAAACTGAACCTGGTCAGGTGGTCTAAATCTGGCTTACAGTAACTCAGAATTCTCTAAAATTGAAAAAATACATTATTGAGCTTTTGGAGCTTAAATATTGTTGCCACTTGAAAAACTCCAACTATAAATATTGGTTGGTCTTCTGTATTTTCAAAGAAAAATGGTGCTTGCAGTCAGACTATCAGTCTATGCCTTCATAATTTTTGAACTTGACAGCCAGTTTCAACTAAGAGAAGTAGATTCACAAGCTCCCTGAAGGCCTGTTGACTATAGCCAGGAAATGATAGAGACTGAAATTAATGTTACTTCTGAATTAGGGGGGAAGACTGACTTCTAGCATATTTTGTGTTAGTTTATAATTAATGAGAGTATTTAAATAATCTCAAAATGACACGTTAAAGAAGAAAATCCATTGAGTTTTCCCTTGTTATATTAGAGCACGTTAGAGACTTCCCAGCTGCCTTTTTTGCAAATAAAAAAAAAAAATTGAAGAAGAGATTGACTGAATTGTTTAAAAAGAGCTTTTATTTTCCTCATCTGACAAGAGATTACAGCCTTCTGCAAAGACCCTGTATGGCACATCAAACTCTAGTTCATGCCTTTACTGTTTATGGTAGCGGAGCTACTTTTTTCCTTTCTGAATATCGAAATTACACCTGCTACATAAGATATTCGTTCATCTTTATTCAGTAACCTGTAAAATTCAGAGTGTAGAGAAGGTGCAAATCTGCTTGATAGTTCTGGACAAAATTTTTCAGCTGTGATTTTCTGAGTGGCTCAGCTGTAGAGCCTCAGAATGATGTGCAAAGAAAGTGCCCCATCAGACTGCCTGTGCAGCTCTTGCTGCTGCTCCTGATGACACTAATCCATATTCCACTTCTAAGTTGGCTGCTTCTCAGAGAAACGCTGCTGCTTCAACATCTTTTACTGCTGATCCTGTTTTACATTTTTGGAACAACCTAGGAATTCTCCTATCCTCTTTTATAACCAGGGGAAGTAAACACAATTTATTGTTTCATAAAGCACAAGTCATGAACCATAAAATCATTATGTATTCCAACTGTAATGCCTTGTGCTGTGTTTTAATATATCCTGGGATAGTCCTTGTTGGGCTACCAGGGTATCAGGCTGTAGGAACAGCCTGAGTGACCAGCTTGAGATTCTTCCAATGTGTCAGGTGTCTGTAGCTACAATAATCAACTCCTTTGACTGTAGGCAGCATGTCAGGAATATGCCAGCTGATACCCAGAGCACTGCCTGGAGCTGCTGCCTGATAATCCCTTGAAAAGGGGGACATCCAGAAAGGACCGAGTGTGAGCAGCTTCCAGATGCTGTAGCTGCTGCAACCAGCCTACCTACCTCCACCCCAAAACTACTTTCCTTCTGACTTTGACAGGAAACTCAACAGGAGCCAGAGTGTGCCCAGGTGGCCAAGAAGGCCAATGGATCCTGTCTTGGATCAGGAACAGTGTGGCCAACAGGTCCAAGGAAGTGATTCTTCCCCTGGACTCAGCACTGGTGAGGCCACCCCTGGAGTGCTGTGTCCAGTTCTGGGCCCTCAGCTCAGGAAGGACATTGAGGTGCTGGAGCAGGTCCAGAGAAGAGCAACAAGGCTGGGGAAGGGACTGGAGCACAAGTGCTGTGAGGAGAGGCTGAGGGAGCTGGGGCTGTTCAGCCTGGAGAAGAGGAGGCTCAGGGGAGACCTCCTCACTCTCTGCAACTCCCTGACAGGAGGGGGGAGCCAGGTGGGGGTTGGTCTCTTCTCCCAGGCAACCATCAGCAAGACAAGAGGGCTCGGTCTTCAGCTGTGCCAGGGGAGGTTTAGGTTGGATATTAGGAAGAATTTCTTTGCAGAGAGGGTGCTCAGCCATTGGAATGGGCTGCCCAGGGAAGTGGTGGATTCTCCATCCCTGGAGGTGTTTAAGGACAGACTGGATGTGGCATCAGTGCCATGGGCTGGGAACCACGGCGGGGTTGGATCAAGGGTTGGACTTGATGATCTCGGAGGTCCCTTCCAACCCAGTTGATTCTGTGATTCTATGATTCTATGATTCTACACCAAATAGATACTTTGGAAAAATATGTTTGAACTCTCTCATTAAAAAAAGCCCAACAAAATCAAACCAAACCCAGGCTTATTCATGGTGTAGCACCCTTCCTTCTGATGCAGTCACCCAATCAAGCATTATTATCCATGACACAGCTAAAGAGTGCTAACCATCAAGGTTCCATGGGAATGCAATAATAGGAGCAGGGTTGTAAACCCTGGGGCTTAATCCCAATCAAATTCCAAGTTCAGTGGTTATATTTGCCCCCTAGACTGATAAGCAGTTCTTCACTTTTGGTTTAAACATTTACACAGTGTTGCCAAGTGCTGATGGTTTCAGAACCAGCAGTTGCATATCAACAGTGGACACTGACAGGCCATATTGTTAATTATATTTGCAAAGTACATTGGGATGCTTTGGGATAGCAGAGTCAGTGCAAAAGGTAAGGTAATTGGTGTGTGTATATTTGGGGGGATGAAAGAGTCTACTGAACACACATTGTTAAGTGATTGCAATCTTTCGATATCTTAAATGGCCTTTAGATTGGAAACAAACACTTCAGGATGGATTATTTGTTTTAAAAAAAGGAATAAAAGGGGGTAAATCAACATGCATTTTGGAAAATACTTCTTGCTTCTACATGAGAGTGTCAGGCAGATCATCATAATTTAGCACATTTTAACTAGAGTTTTATTATAGCTCATTTTTCAATAGTAATTTTCCAAAAGCTTTGGGTTTGTAACGTTCTTAAAAATTAGGTGTGTGACTTAGAATAAACAGAATCCTATTCTTTTCTCATTAAGTGTTGTCTTGCCTATTTGCAGTTTGCACAGAGCTTGTTTCCAAGAGAAGGATGTAATTTAAAAGATGGAGACATCATCTATACCATCCCTTATCTCTTAACAACCCATCATTTGTGTTGTAAGTACCCAGTATATTTTCTTCATCCTTTTTTCCCCGCTCCAAACTGCACAGCATTGCTCTGTTTCTTTTTTTGCTGGGGAAATAATGTTTTGATAAGGGCCCAATTACATCAGTGCTGAGTACTCTAAATTCTAAATTTAGTGTTCCCACTCCAAATTCTCAGTACATTTAGTTCCACGTATCTCAAAGTGTCAGGAAGCCCCAGTCACACATTTTCTATGAAAATAGTGAACTGTGTGTAAACAGCAGAAGTCTGTCTGATGTGGATTTCTGAGTGGATTTTTTTTAAGGTTTGCAGGTGTAGGTACCAGTGAGGTTGATTTTTCTAGTCTGTCTGTTTTGGTGTAGGAATCTAAGCCAGGCTGGTTTGTATCAGGCCCTTAATGCAACTCAGAAATACTAAAGCTGGCTGGCCTGCCCATTTAAGTTCCCAAATTGAATCCAATGCTGTTAACCAAGAATCCCAAAGAATGGATGCCTCTTTGGAGTTGCAGGCAACACTTGGCAAATTAAACATCATTTTCTAAGAGTGCTCTGAATTCTTTCATTAACTGGCTGCTACATTTTGCAGATGGTTGGATCAGCAGCCAGATCTCTGCAGCTGTGTGGAGTGGGCAGACAGGTGGGCAATTTTTGCATTTGTGAATTCACCATCAGCAAGAAATAGATTTTAACAGCAATGGGAAAGAGAGGACTTGAGTGCAGGGTTAACCTTGCTGTTCACACTTCTTGTGTTGCAAAGCTTGATTGCCTCTCCTTCGATACCTCCATGCCTTCAATTTGCCAACTTCTTAACAGTAAAGAACTCTTACAATATTTAGTGTTTATGAATGCAGATAATACAGTGTGTACTGGAAGTAACTGAAACATGCAGTACCTGGGTCATGAAGTGAAAAGGGACAGTGAGCTCCTATATCACTTACCTACATTGTGTTGGGTAGTGACAGGTTTATGTACAAAGATAAAACAATTGGACTTTCTTCAAAACACAAATGGGGTTTTACAGAAAATTTACTTCTTTTTTTAAATTGACTTTACATTCTTTATGTTTTTGCAGTTTGACAACCTGAGGAGGAAAACAAGTCAAAAGCACAGATTGCCAGGGTCTGAAATTTTCCACTTTCTTGTATAACAACATGGTAAGTGACAAAAAAGTAAGTCCTCTCAGTAAGTGTGCACTTAAAACTGTTTGTGTCCCTGCATACTCTGCGAGGAAGAAATTCTTTCTTTGAGGTAGTGTCATAGTGCACTTTGTGTTTTAAAGGACAAAATTCAAAAGCAAAATTAATTTTGGAAAAGGATTTGAATGCCTGAGGATTAGTTGCAACGTTTTCCTGCAGTGTTCACTTCCCAAGAATGGCATGCCTAATAAATATGATACTTTGTAGGGCTGGCAGACAATTAACAGATATTTAGTTTGTGATGGACCAAAAAGTTGATCAGTTTTAGAAACTATTCTTACAATAGAAAAATGTTTTGATTTTACAGCATTGCCATTCATAATGATGGGGTTTTTTTAATTGAGTACTCTATAGATATTTGGTATTTAAAATGGGAAAAATATAAGCAAAAAGGAATGGTAGAGGCAAAACCAACTCTCTGTGTGAAAGCCCAAGAATTGGAATAAAAAAAGTTATCCACAGCAGTCACTTTTGGAAGCCATATATACTATATTTTATCTTCCTGAAAGTTACAAATATACTTGAGATTGAAAGTTTAAAAAACATGCTAGGACACAGATGGATTAGGGAGAAATGATACATTGATTAGTCATCTTTACTGAATAATCCACTCTCCTTTCCCATTTGCTTGGTTTCCACTAATTCACGTAGGAAATGTTTGGAGATGGTTGATAAACTCAGTCTACTCCATGCATTATTATTGCAGGACTGTGCTGTTTGCTGGACTAATCTCAATAATATGTATGTATGTATTTTCTTAAACTTCCAGAGTCATGTTTCCAAGCGTTTGAAGCACAGATCCTACAGGATTATCTAAATCTGACATTTATCTGGGTAAAAGCTAACACATAAAGCGTCAGAGCTAATCACATGTTTTTTATACTTTCACTTGGAAAAGAAAGAGCCCTGGAAGTGACACACTAACAAATAATACATAATCTGCCCACGTGAAGTAATCTTTGCTGCTTTGTTACCTCTTCCGTATGCCACATGCACCACTCACAAATACAGCTTGTTAGCTCTGCAGTTGAGAATCATGATGTTTATTGTAACATGCAGAATAAGTAAATCATCTCTGAAAATTGGGATTGGGAGAAATCACCTGTTTAAGATTCCAAGGCATGCTGCTATTCTTCTTTTAATCGTGCGATTTTAAAGTACAAATATGTGACAAAACTCTTTGCTTAGTCACACACAGTATGGAAAGAAAAAAATGTAATCATGAGATTACATGAGAGATCAAAACACCAAAAGTCTTATTTTACACACTTCCATAAAATCTACAATCTGGAAGGAGCTTAAGTAGTTCATCTAGTCCATCTTCTCTGACCCAAAGGAAGCTTTACTCTGTCATCTTCATCTTACTCCTCACTGTTCTGAACATCAAAAGCTTTCCTTAAATACTTAACTGATGTCATTTAGAGTGACAATTGACCCCATTCTCCCCTCTCTCCAAATCTGAACCATAAAGCATTCTCAAACTTTCTTGTTCCCAAGATAAAACTCAAACACAAGTGTATTAGGAAATGTGTTTTCTTCTTATACTTACTATAAAAGTAAGTATAAGACATGAAATGTCCCATGCAAATTTTGACTGAAAAAACCCCCAACCATAAACAGAGATGATAAATAGCAAGGCCTATTTCTTCCCTTATTTCTGTGCAGGATACATGGGACTCTAGAATAATGAATAGAACATTGTGTCAGACACAATTCAGTATGTATTCCAGTCAGATATTCTTCAAGTGTGGCAGGACAATCTAAAAGAGTGTTAAAATAACCCTTACCTTGCTTGTGCCTAGAGAAGCCCAACTACACGTGCTATTGGTGTATAGCTATCATAAAAATAAATTAGCCAGCCTGCATTTTCAGGTTAATCTTCAATTTCATAATTGAATCAGTAATTACTGTAAGTTAATATAATTAGGTGCTAACACTTAATTGAGAATTATTTATTCAGGAATCTTCACTATTGTAACATTTTTTATAGCTCCAAATCATTCTGAGTAATGTACTGCATTAAATAAGCTTAACCAGAAATGGAATGGACATTACCTGGAATCTTGTAGTTTAGTTTTCAACTACTTTCTATCACTAAGGTTTTTACTGAAACAAGACAAGAAACAGGGTTTTGTCAGTCTTTCTAGTTCTGTCCATAGCTGAAGTGCCACCTGAGCATTTTTAAAAGATTAAGTCAAATTATATTGGAGAGACTCCTGCTGTCTCCAGTGGTTGTTGATGAAGGCCCCAAGAGAAGACTTTACCTTTAAGTCTCTCTCAGAATAAGTGACCTGCAGACTCTGATCAGTACTGGTGATGGAATGTGTGCTTTTACATCTAGCCTCATATCCAAACAGGAATTTATAATGGTTTGTTTCACAAAAAAATGGAACTTTATATCCTAGAACAGAGGTGCTATGGCTAATAAGCCTGAATACACAATGGTGCAGTTCAAAAATCATCTCAGGGATCAGTGAGGGTTTTTTCTGTACCAAATGGTTTGAACAAGTTGCATTTCTTCTTTGTGCTTGAATTTGCTTGAGTTTGTCTCATCCTTCCCCTTGCCTGCTGCAGCAGTTGGCTCATTCCTGTGCTGACCAAAACCTAAATCAAAGTGTATCCTCTGTGAGGTCTGTGAGGGGAGGTTGGGTTTGAGTGTGAGCACAAGTCTGGAGATACCACGACAATGCATGGAGAGAATATGTCCAGCTCTTTTAGATAATCCACAATATGCAAAAGTAAAGGAAGCACAGAATAATCAGCTTTTGACCTCAGTCCTACTGTAGATCAGGTCAATTGGGTAGAAGGAAATAAGAGAATTTAGAAGGCAACTTGTGTGTTACATCCAAATTTTGCATTGCTTATTCTATGTGTTTCAGACCAGGGTGTGTCTTGGTGAGCAGTTCACAGTTGTTTCACTTGCTGGTTCAGCAGAGAAAAAAATGAATTTTTCAAACTGGTGTGAGGGTGTTAAGATGACTCCCAAGGAAGCCAGCATTAGTTGTGCTGTTAGATGTCTGTTTCCACTTTATAAAGCAACAATGAAGTGCAGTAGGTTCAACAGAACTTCAGAATTACTTTGATAAATTTGTCAGAGGAAAGAAATATTAAAATCTGTGTACTGTCTGTTTGCCTTTTTTCTTGAAATATAAATTAATTATGACTATATAAAAACCTTTTACCATAGCTAATTAATCAGAATCTCCTAATAAACTATGTGTCGACAGCACTGTATGTCTAATTATCTTTTTTCACTTCAGAATTGTGCAGTTGAATAATGAAGAAAACATTACCTGATGAATTCTTTTATTTTATGATGATATCTCTAGAGACAGAAAAGACAGAGCAGCTTAAATGCCATCTTAAATTACATCTTGGCCTTGGCAAGCTTTCAGCTGGTTTTGATTTGCATGGAAACCATTTTTGTAAGACTCATATTCTCTGAAAAACAGAACTTAAAGCTATAACTAGAATAAATTATCTATAGCTATTTAGGGCTCTATTAAATCTAGATGCTAGGTACCCTTTTCACATGCAGAATGCAATGGAACAGCTTTTAATACCCTGTCAACCTGTTCTGTGAAAAGTCGATTGGGCAGGGAAGGTTTGATTTGGCTGGTTTTATTAAAATATCTTTCCTCTCCTTGCGCCATCATGAACCACTCAGCCTAATTTAAACCAGGCAAATTCACCAATCTGTCTTGCATGTCTATAGAAACAGCTTTTATTTTTTAAAGTGATGACATCCACACATAACTGTTGGCATGCAAACTCAAGACACAGTTATTCATACACTGCTGATAGGGAATTGTTCTTTATATGTGCTATACCAATATAGGGAGCACGTTCATGGATTAACTGCATCCATGCCTCCCTCTTTTGATTGCATCACCCTCTCCACAGCAGCTGATTTATCCCCAGGACACAGGGGAAGGGTCAAATCAAATCCCGTTAGACTCTTGTTAGTCAACCTTTTAAGTTTGTTCTGCTTTTATAATTTGGAATGTGTCCACCTGCAGTACCACTGTGGAATGAAAGTATCATCACACCACACAGGCATTCATAACAATGCCTGTTATTACAGTAAAAATATTATCTGATCTAGTCTTATTAATTATTTAGATCAGAGCTTAATTTGATCTAATGGCTGAATTCAGTGCTCATTTACTGTGGTGCAGACCAGCTAAAACCAAGGAAGCTTCTCTGGGTGTGTGCTGATGAGAAAAGGAAGAAAGGAAGAGTTATAAATATCTTAAAAGCAAATGCTCATAATATTTGCACGAAACACTTAAAAAAAAACCCTTAAAAAGACAGTTACTCTCTATTTTGTCTGCTGTACTTCCTGGAAATATTGATCTAGATCATATTGTCAACTGTACTTTAAAAGTAGGAATGTCCTGCCTAAGCACTGGGTTTCCATCTGCCACGTCTCTTCTCTGCAGATCCTTACAAAGTTATTGGGAAAAGTTGCAATACCACAAATTGATTTTTTTTCTTGCAGTGCATAGAGCAAAAATAACCCTGAGACAACACTAATTCTGGCTCTCAAATACTGACCCTCAAGGTTATGTTCCTATGTGAAAAGACTATAGCAACCTAATAGAGGGAACCATATAACTCTTACACTTCCTAATAAGCAATCTGAAAATGTGTACCTTAAGTTCAGATTTAGAGCATGTTAAAGAGTCAGCCAGTCTGACCTCCATGGTTAATGAATTCCATGAGGAGCGAGCAAACACTAAAAATGCCCTGTAGCTCAATGTCTTCAGCCAAAAAGAACTAATCCAATTGACTGAGACCAAAGAAAACGACTGGGGATGTATGGTTCCAGAATGTCTCTGAGGTATTCAAACCCAAGTCAATTTAAGGACTTGTAAGTTAATAACTAGGACTTTACACATAATCCTGTACTTTACAGGTAGCCAGAGAAGGTTTTTCACAACCAGGGTAATGTGATT